GGCGGCTCCCCCTTTGAATTCCCACAGAGGCAGGTTTTTAACGGGGCTGCCCCTTTAAAACCCCGCCTCCACGTGATTCAAAGCGCAGAAAGGGGAGCCCAGGCTCAGCTAGGGACTCCCCATCTGATTCCGGGAAAATGCCATGGGGAGCCTGGGATCAGCTGAGAATCCCCAGCTGACCCCGGGTTCCAGGGCTTCCCCTTTGAATCCCCGCAAAGGAGGTGTTTTACAGGGGCAGCCCGCGGCACAGCTAATCCCCGGATCAGCTGTGCAGCTGCCTCCTATTGGTATCAAAGTGGCAGGGCCGCTGTATGGCACTAACACTTTGAAGTACTCCTCCCACCCCCCACTCCCCGCTTTGCTGCTTCTGTTTTGTAGGGTGTGTCTAAACTACATGGCCCCTGAAGCCGCAATTTAAATAATCTCGGCTTCATTTAAATTTAAATGGTTGCCGTGCTCTGCCGACCAGCTGATGATCAGCTGTTTGTCCGCAGATCGGGGCAGTCTGGATGTGCCATGGTCAACAAGGAAGCCTTTGTCGACCGGCGCAGGTAAACCTGGTTTCATGAGGCATACCTGTGCCGGTCGACAGAGGCTTCCTTGTCGACCGTGGCGCATCCAGACTGCCCCGATCTGCCGACAAACAGCTGATCATCAGTTGGTTGGCAGAGTGCAGCAGCCATTTAAATTTAAATGAAGCCGCGATTATTTAAATCGCATCTTAATTGCCCTCTGCCGATCAGCCTAAGCTATATGGCTCCATCAACGGAGCCATGTGGTTTACACACACCCATAGAGGCAGCAAGGAGGGGGAATTGACTAGTCAACATTACTATCCAATAAGCTTATCGGATAGTCGACTAGTCTTTAACATTCTTTGTTCAGACAATTTCTTTACTGGTGTAGTCTGATGAAAGAGAAAGAACAATAGTTGAGTGAATGGTCTTCCCTACTTGAAAAAAACATGCCTGTGTGAGCCCCTTAAACTCACAGCTGACTTCTCACTCATATGAGCAGCCCCAGAAAAACAAATGAGATTGCCCATGACACTGGTTGTCATATATCAGGAGCAGAGCTGGACCAAGGCATTTGTGCGCTCTGGGCGCTGGCACCGCCCCCAGGAGTGTGACGCATGCGTGGCCCTGCCCCCGGGAGTGCGACACATGTGCGGCCCCGCCCTCGGGTGCCCGGTGCATGCATGGCCCTGCCCTGGGCACACGGAGCACGCACGGTGCCACCCCAGTCTGGCCCGGCAGCCCTGGGCCAGCTCTGATCAGGAGTATGAGGGGCCCTACATCACTCAACTGTTACAGATAGGCTTGTGTTTAACTATATGGATATCGGCAGCAGTGCAGATTGCACTGCTACTTCCTGAAAGAATCTCCACATTGAATAACAAATCCACCACTGAAACCCCCTAAGAGGCACCACGTAGCAGAGAGAAGGGCGGTGAAGGGTGGGGGTGTTGCGCACTGTCTGGTCCGTTCACCACTGTCAGTCAATTTTTCAAACAACAACTGAGTTCCATGTATTGTGAGCAAGAACCTGTTTTTTCAGAGTAAGAACTGAACACTGATAAGAAAGGAATCAGGATTTGTACTGTAACTTTCCCACTTACAGAAATCTGGCCAGAGAGCAGTTAATTAAGAGTGGAAGGCCTGAGTCTCGGCAGAGCTCCCCCGTGTGGAGTGAAGGCCGTGCTGTGTCCTCTCACAACCCAAACCATGTATTAACTCCCATCAGCCTACACGGTGTGGGTTACCTTTCCCTTCCAACGCCACCACTCAACCCACACTGGGTGCAAGCCCACTGAAAACCTGCAGAAACAAGCTCAGCCAGCTCGAGCACACACCAGCCCTACTGCCGCCATCTCAACCCTCTGAAAATTAGAGCATAAGGGACTCTTCACTGACTGCACTCTCATCTCCCCTGTGCCCGCGTCAGCAGCCTTCTCCACATTGGCTACATATCCCAGGAAGTGCTTAATGCAAAAAAAGGGAAGTTAAACAAAGCATACTGGGAAACCTCTGACACAATGCAGCTCAAATTCATCCCAGGACTAACGCTGCTCTGTTCTCTGCAGTTACACCAAGGATAGGTTTGGCCTCCTGTGTTCACCTTGCATGGCAGGTTCTACTTCATGAAGGTGAAACACACAGCTGAGATCTTGATGGAGCCCACAGGATTTGGCGCCCCCTACAGGCGATCATTCAGATCTGCAGCAATCCATCCTCACCATCCCCATAAGAGTGGGCTCTACGCTGATCAGCCATAGCACGGCTTGCTTTTGCTGTGATGTGGATTGTTTGGGAGATATTTTTAGGGAATGGTGGGAACTAAAACCCCACCAGGAATTCAGCACCACAACTGGGAGGGTTTCCTTGCAGGAAGCTAACAGATGTGCGGCCAGTCTTCTTGTGTCAAGCCCTTAAAACTGGAGTTAGCTATTCTCATGAGAGGTGGAAAAAGAGGGTTTCTAATCAG